GGGGGTGGGGCAGGCCAAACACACTTGCTGAATAAATGAGGACAGAAAGGGGCTGCTCCAAGTGTTTTTTTTAAAAGGCTTAACCCTATGTGTGTCCTGGAGAGGTGTCTTTGTGCTATGCTGGGGCAGCTGATTTCTCTTTTCAGGTAACCAAACCATGAGAATCGCTGGGATTTTTCCGCTTAGCTGCCTTTTCTTTTCATTGTTTTTCTATCCGTCTCCCTTTGTCTTGCTTCTGTCTTTCTGCGCTCGTCTTTCCTCAAAGGCCTGTCCTGGCCCTGGCCCGGCCCTCGGCCTGCGGTACCCCCGGGACAGTGGCCAGCGGCCTCGGCGGCGTTACCGTGGGCCTCGTGTTAGGGATATAAATTTTTTGAGAACTATGTAAACTCATTTCTAATACATAACTATTTCTGGTCTTTACCTGTGTCAGTCACTATATTACTGCCTGGATAATTTTTCAAAAACATTTTTTAAATTTATTATCTCTGTAACGTTGTGTGTATAATTTCCTATTACTTCATTACAAAATCAAGTCTCACCACTTTCGGACACCCCGGATGGCGGTGACGCACGCGGCCCACCCTGGCGTCCTCGGAGGCCTTGCCACCGTTGTAGATTCAGGGTAATTGTTGGCGCCCGCGAGCAAATTACTCCAAACACAAAGCCGCCCCCACTCTCTGCGCTGGTCCCCTTCCCGCCCGCGCCGGTGCTCGGTCCCCGGCATAATGACGCCTTTCTCATCCGGTTACTGAGTCGTGTTTTAATGAACCGAATGGAAAAGTACACGTGTGCGCAGCTACTTTCAAAATGGCCAAGGATCCCGGCCTAGCCACAGCCCGCTCTTCTGGGCCCCGCGCCCCCACAACAGCACCAGAATCAGCACCAGCCCTGCGGTTTCCAAGGCCGGACTTTGAAACTGCTAGTTGGGATGGGCGGGAGGGGCACTCAGGGGACCCAGTATTGCTGAGCAACTTGGGGAGAGGCTGCTTGCTCTGCTCCCTGCTCTGCTCCCTGCCGGCTCTCTCCTCTTCTTTGGGGTTCTGATCACCATCTGGACAGGCGCACTCTGGGCTGCGCCTCCAGAGCGCCTTTCTCTGCTTCTGGGTTTACCCTTTACTAGCACTTTCTGGATTCTGGCGGTTTCTGCCGGGCTCTCCCCACTCGCACCAACAGAACAAAGCACACAGGTCCTCAGGCCCGCGCACCGCCCCCACCCACCGCGCCGGGATCTTCCGGAACCAGCGGTCCCAGCGACCCAGAGACCCAGCTAGCCCAGCTCCAGGGAGCCGCGGCTGGGCCTGCGGAGAGCAGCCGGGCAACTGCACGGATGCCTGTTCGGAACAAAATCCCGTCTCTACCCAGGCTGGGCCCTCACTGCTCTCAAACTGTGCGGAGGGGTCAGCGAGGCGGCGCCCCCCGTGGGGAGGGCGCGGGGCTCACCTTGGCCGTCGCTGGGCCTCCCAGGGCCCCGCAAGGCTCTCGTAGCTCGTATCCGCCGCTCGGCGGACTCCTCTCGGGTCTTCGCACCGCGTCGTCGGCCGCCAAGTCCCCGAACACCGACCGACCAGGAGGAGGCCCGAGGCGGCGCCGGGGGCGGGGGCTACTGTCATCGGGAGAGTCCGTGGGGCCGTCCGCGCCTGAGGAGGTGGCAGACGGGGGTCCAGCGGACTGATCACCGTCTGGGCCACCTCCCGCGCTGGGTGCGCTAGGCGCCCTGGACTCGGTCTCGTCCTGGGCGCCCTCCTCGTCGGGGAAGCGGTTGGATTCCACGTCCACCTCAGGCTCGTCCGCAGTGTCCACATCGGGCGAGGCGGAGTGGTAGCTGGAGCTGCCCTCGCTCAGGAAGTCCGGGCTCACGTAGCCACCGCCAGTCCCC